TACTCTGTAACAGACTCAAAGACTCAAACTACGCAGTGATGTGTACCTGTGAGACCTTAGATACCACAGTGAGGTGCCCTAGATGACTTGGAATCCCTGGCCAGACACACTGTGTTTGCCCAGTGCAGTGGTCTTTCACTGTTGAATCAGTGCTGCAGATAGAGCAGTGCTGGTGACTGTGTCGGTGCTGCCACAAATATAGTGGATTTTTGAGGTGCCAGTTCACCATTGGACCACCTGACCCCTTTATACTTTTTCATCATTACTCTTTGAAAACCTCTAAATCTTTGAAGTAGGTATAAAAGACACGTGTGGATCAACATCTTCTTTGCGAAAAATGTGGTACTCCATTTTTTTTCCCAACTAGTGCAATCACAATAGCAGCTAGGAAAAATGGGGTACCTTTTTTTAGGCTGCTGGGCAGTCTTTTGTCCTTTGAATAAAATATGCCTTCTGTAGTTTTGTTATTTGTTTGTACTCTGTGAAATAAAGTAGAAATAGAAACCCAGCTTGAAGGAATTCAGTTGAAAGAAATCTCCCCTGTCTTCATAGGAGGACTGTTTACAGTACTTTTTCCATCCAGAAGAGCTGACTGGTCAAAACATGTGTTTCTGTCAACAATGTGGAATGAAAACACCTTTTTTGAAGGTAATCAGAGAATTATTTTCCCATAAGTCTCTCACACAGAGAAATTCCTTTAGGACTGGGAAGGGTGGGGAAAGGACTCAACCATATCAGTTTAAGAGGAGATCAACAACTCAGATTTGTCAGCACAGAAGTATCAGCAAGGTATAAACCACATGCATCTTTCCTCCTGTTAGGAAATTTCCTGCTGTAGACATAGCTCTTGCTATAAAGGATTTAATGAGTTTTACTCTAAGTCACTGAGAAGAGGAGCTTCTTTTGGTTTATTCTGTGTGTGCACTGTGGGCCTTTACACTGCTGCGTAGCTGCTGAGGTGGACAAAAATATGTTACTTGAACTGTGCATACACCTAAAAGTAGGATACTGTAGGATGATTTCCTTTCTTCCCTGCTCTCCACTGGGCTCCCTATTTTTCACAGTATCAGTCTGTGCCAGATGATGAATTAGCTGTTTCATGAAGAGGGAAGTGCATTAAAGAGAGCAGCGTGAGGGAGAATGCCTTAGCACAAGGCTTAGAGGGAACTTCCCACAACATTTTCACTGTTGGGCTGCCTCTGAGGCCACAATGAATCCATGTGTCTTAGTGGCAGCCGTGGCAGCAACAGGCAGTGCTGGAAGAAATGAGCTGTCAGCTTGACATCCTTCACGGAGCTCCAGTGGTCACATGTCACAAAAAAGTTGGCTTGCCTCTCCTCACCCTACCTACTGCTACCCATCTAGGGTTAAGAAAGCAGATGAGAAATGAAGCAGCCCTTGACACACCCGAGGCTGGGTGCTGATCACACTGAAGCTGAGAAACTTGGTTATCACAGCTCCATTATGTGTCTTGTGTGCAAATGGGCTACAAAGGTTTGGCATCTGCTGTGTGGTGCAATTGGCAGCCATTCACTTGTAGCACTGACTTTTCTCCATGCTATATGCACTGGGTGCCAATGGCTGTTTCCAGCCTACCTCCCCAGGGTTTATTCCTTAGTTTTCAGTCACATTATTTATTGTTTTACAGAGCATGAAGCTCGTCTATCTGCCACAGACTCTGACCATACACCTAAAGCGCTTCTGCTTCGAAAAATCATCCTACGCGCACAAGCTCAGTCACTATCTCCCATTCCCACGGGACCTTGATTTCAATGGAGTCTTGACGGAAAATCAGTGCCAAGCAGATGTCAATGAAAAGGTGAGATACTCCTAAGGCTGTCTAAAAAAGAGAAGATTTTCTTCTTCTCTCTGCTCAAGTCTCATAAAATTTTAAGAGATCACACCAGTACTTACCTGATTTCAAAGTGCCTGTCTTAAAAATCTATGTCTCAGACATCTTTCACCTGTGTCTGGTGTTGCCTCACATCCCATGGTTTTAACTGGTTCAGTCATTATTCAGCATTCTGTGCTCAGAGTAAATCACCAAAAGCACAATAACTGGAGCTTCCTGCCATAAGGACAAAAACCAGGCTTTACATATCTCACCAGTCCAAGGCAGGGGAACTCCATTCCTGGTATTTCCCATGCAGTGTTGTTGGCCACAGAGTTGAGTTTAGCAAGGAAACAACAGCTTTGCCAAGCAGATGAGAGTGATCTGCCCCACCGTGGATCTGTCCCCCTTACTGTGAAATAAAAAGGGGAAATGTGGCAATAGCAAAAGTCACCAGTGTGGTGTTGTCTGTAGTGTAGCTCCTTTGCTATTCTTCTACCTTTTTCACATTCCTGAGATCTCCAGGGAGGCTGCCAGCCCATAGCTGGCAGGCTAAACTATGAGGGTAAGAGCAAAAAAGGCAGGATCCTCAAGGGTAATCTGCTCTTCTTCCTTTCTCCTTGCAAAATCCACATCCTTGTTGTCCTGGATGCTGCTTCTCTTCAGTCAATGGCAAATGAGAATTACTGCACTAAAAGTTACTCTTTGTGTCTCTTTGCAGGCTACCTGGCAGTATGGCCTTTTTGCCGTCGTTGCTCATTCAGGATCAGCTAGTTGTGGACATTACTGTGCCTACATTCAAAGCCTCACAGAGTGTAAATGGTATTGCTTTAATGATTCTCAGGTTTGCCAGGTGAGGAGATCAATCCACGTTTCTTTTTGTACTTTCCCGACCTCTCCTCCAGATCTTACTCAGTCTGACTGACTGCTAATTAAAGAGAACCAGGAAAAGAAACTGAAGCTGCAGAGCTTTGTGCACCTCTGCTGCAGGCTCTTGCTTCTGCACCAAACAAGGCCTCAGTTTCTGCTTTGTGACTTGCAAAAGCAGCCATTTGATGTATACCCCTACTTTATGTACTCTACTGTGTTAGAAGAGGAACTGTTTTCCCTCGTAAAGCAGTAAACCAATTTATTAAAAGGTGCTTAGTTCCTGGAAGTGCCACTTACACCACTCTTATGAGAACTGGTGCGCTGGTATCACAACGTGTCCGTCTCCTAAGAGTTTTTACCAGCCTCCTCTTGTGTGTTTTTCTTCTCTAGGTATCATGGGATGATGTTAAATGCACCTATGGACATTCCAACCTCCACTGGTATGCAAACATATCTCTGTTTTTACCTAATGCTGCTCTGGACTTTGGAATGAGGGTAGCAAAGAGAGGGAAGATAGACGGTTTGAATTGCATATTGCCTGGGATGTAGTGGGGATGCAGGAGAGCAGAAGAGGCATCCTTGTATTCTGGTTGCTCTGATGGGCCTGCATATGACTATACTGGGAGCCTCCAGGGTTACTGAGTAGTCACAAATGGGGCTGGCTGCAGTTAGATACGTCAATCGGGATTTTTCCATGCTTTTTGTTTTGATGCATCATAAGAAAATAGCTTATGAGAGGGGGATATTATAAGAGGGAGATAATCCCTCCTATAAGCTAAAGTGCTGACAGGGAGTCAGCTTTATATGCTCTCTCAGGAACACTGGAAAGGGTCAGCTTAGTTGATCCAAACCACAAAAAGCTGGGCAGGAACAAACCTGGGAGGTTACTTGCAACCTAGATCTTCAAACATATACGTCGCATTTTGCTTTTTCTTTGCCTCTACAGGGGAGAAACGGCCTATCTCTTGATTTACATGAAAAAACATCCTCAGCAGCCCTATCCAGGACTATCAGAGTGTCTGGGAAAGCTGTGAGTTGTCCATGGAGCTCAGCACCTCTGTGCAAGAGTGGACATGCACAAATGTTCCATGAGAAAGACATTTTGCACTCAGCGACCTCTATGTTCACATTTATTTATGAAAAACACTCAGCTAGAAGAAGGATCTAAGAACTGTTGCAACTAAAACTTTTTCTTTCATGTATTTTTTATATTTATGTGATTCTACATATTCATTTCATCTTTAAGAGATAGTGAGTTAGTCCTTGTCTCTGCTGACTTAGCAGTTTCCTTAATGCTGATGCCTAAATTCCCATACAGGGGAAGTGTTTGGCCTGAAAACCTGTGTGATATTCCAGAGAGGTGTGTGGTATGACTGGGGAGCACTGATAGCCATCCCTGACCAGTAAGAGCTTGAGACTTTGCCCTTTTAGCACCATGTGAGATGCTGGCAAGCTGGGCAGGAGACCCCAGAAGTCACCAGAAACATCTGCAGGAAGGATCAAAACCTTTATGCCACATGCCAGTGACTCTTACTCCTTAAAACCTCCCTGAAAATGAGTCACTACAGGGGCTGAGATGTATTTGAAAGTTGGCATCAGCACAATGAGGTGTTTTAAATCAGGAGCTTTTGCAGGAGTTCTGATTTACAAGATGAATTCATATATATTTGTGCAGGTGATTATTGTTTTAACACACATCAGGTGTTTATATGCATTTTCTTTCCTGTAGAGAGGGAAATATTCAGAGTAACAGAGATTCTGAAGCTTATTAGTGATTTTGCACGATGCAGGGCAATATACTGTGATAGGGGAAGTAAGATGCCTTGCTGTGCTTGAACTTTTGGGATTTTCCTTAAGTATTCTTCACCTGGTTGCCAGCTGGAATTGTCTTGCCCTTTTCTTTCCCTTTCTACCCTTGATGTGGGAATGTCCCTCAAGCAGAAAATGTTCTAGAGAGAACAATTGTATAAAGAAAGTGGGTAATTTTTAAATCTCCTGTTGAGTCCCATTACTCTGTGCTGTTGGTTCGACCTGTACTCCCGTGGCAAGACCACACAGAGGGAAAATGTAAAGAGAGCTAGAAAGGAAGGTTGGTCACATGTGATAGCGTGAAGAAGAGTGTTCTGAAGGCTCATCACAAGGCTCCATTGTGAGGAAAGTCAAAAACTTTGATTGTGATGCTTTTAATGCCCTGGTGGCATTAAGTCTTGTAGTACCACATCCTGCGAAGGGATCGAGGATTCCAGCAGTTTGACTGTATCTTTACAAAGGTGCTATTTTTGCAGGACAGAGCACATTTTAAAATTACTAATGTAGATTTAATAGCAGCTGTGTGTAACTTAATTATATTTTGATAGTGATGATGAAGTTCACAAATCATGTCCGTTTTCTGTCGGTATGTGGAAGGCAAATTGAGAAATTTTGGAGCATAGCTATGAAATTACACTTTCATAGTGTAGCAGGTATTTATTTTGCTGTATAGCAAGGTCTGTTATTCTGCTCAGCTCTCTTTTATTTATACTGCTCCTTCTTCATTAAAATATCCTGGTGTGTTGTTTGTCACCAGGATGAGGAATTTTCACTCTATTCACATACAAGAATGTGTCGCAATCTTTCTAAAGCACCTTGCAATGGATGAGTAAGAAAACCAAGTTCCTGTTTGCTTTGTCCTGCACTTTGCCGAAGTGAAGGAGCAGAAAAACAATGCACTTCCAGAAACTGGGAAATTAATGGGTTAAGAGACTGACAAGACACTTCTAGTTAGCTATAACTTGAAATTTGAAAACTTATGCTTATGAAAAATGCCTTAAATGTGTCATAACCTTCCAGGGACGTTAACCATCAAGGAAGCAATTGCAGAGATACATTAAGAATCTTTCCAGTCAGTGAAAAAATATTACTCTCAATGAAAAGTATGAAGTGTTTTTTGAATAAAATACTACGTGATAAATTCCCTAGAAAATGGGTCTTGTGGTTTATTCTTGGTCTGTTGTTCCTAAACACTGTAAATGCAGGTGGGAGGCCACGTGGCACATGCACAGAGGTGAATGCTCAGATTGAGTATTTGGGGTAGAGCTGCTGCTAATATTTAGCTCCAAGAACCAAGAAAAAGCAGCTAAACCTGGTCACTTCACCCTTGTGCTGGAGACACAATGGGTTTGTTTTTAGATTTGCTGTCATGTTTTCAGATTTGCTGTCAAGCTTATATTGCTTCCAGATGCAGGTGGGCCATGGGAGGAGCGGGAGGGTGTGCAAACTGCATGGCAGTTTAAAAACTCAGTTTCAAAAACTCTGCCTGACCTGAGCTGCTTTTGCAAAAAGTCACCTTGGCTGCCTCTGTGTCCACAGCAAAGCTCAGCTGCATACTGGATAAACTGCCCTAGGAGTTTACTTACATCTAAGGAAACCCCCTTTCAGCAAAGTGCCTGGGATTCAGTACTGTACAGGCATAACATGGAGATCAGTGCTAATGTAGAGTCCTTGCCTTGGGGTGGCTACAGGAAACAGCTCCTGCATTTCTGCCAGAAAAAAATCTCCACCACAGAGCCACCACAAAGGAGTCAAGATTATTATTAGTATTAGTGGTAGAAGTAGTATTACCAGTATTATTAGTCCTGTTTGAGTAACTGTGCAAATGAAGCCCAGCACGAATAGCAAGGACTTTGAAAACCCAGATAAAACCAAGAGTACCTGTGTGGAGGGATTATTGTATAGGTCTTGGTAACTCCTTATTTCCACTTTTTGTTTGGTTTAGGATTACCATGGCTTAAGAGAAGGAGCAGTAGCAAATTACACATTCTCTGCTTCACCTCTGACAGACACTTCCTCAGACTGAGATATTCCTCACCTTCAAGAAACACAGAGAAAAACAGAAAAAAAGTAAATCTATATAACAATTATACATCTCACACGTCCAATTTCTAAAATGTCAATATCTTGTAAATACCAAAAATTATACATGAAAGTAAAAGTAAAAAAATAATTTTTGATACTTTACTTCCAGTATTATTTTAGTTTACAAGGGTCATTTATCAACTAGTTTTCATTGGTATTTACACAAAAAAGCTGCACATGAGATCTACGTTTATAAAATACCTACAAAAAAAGCACATTCTAACACAGATTAAAAAACATGGGTTGATAAAACTGTAGTTACTCTAAACTACAATGGAAAGTGTAAAACTTATTAGGACTTGGCATTACTAGTAATTTTAATTGATAATACCTTTACAGATAATTTTGTGGATCACAATGATCTATTGTGTCTGATAGACCCCAAAAGCAAATCTTGTGATGATATTCCTGCACTGAATGACTGTCAAGGGAACTTCTTCCAGTAGAGACCAGATAACAGATCTGATAAGCAGATTCTCTCAGTGGCAGTTTCTACCTGTTTTTCATCTGGGGACAGCTTTACTTTTGCTTTTCTGGCATCCAGAGAGTGCTGGCCCTTTGCCGGCCCCGGCATTTCCTATATCACTGCCTTTTGGGCACTTTTGTCTTACTGGTCTCCTCTCCTTAGAGCCAGGTTTCTGGTCCTGCCTTGACACAGGCCATACCTCTCCCAGGGACATTTTGGGGATGACAAGCCCAAATCATCTTTGCCAGTAACATCCATATGGTATTTCTTCTCCAACACATCTTAGGCTTGAAGCTGTGAGCAGAAAGCAACACTTGCCTAACAAGTGCAAACAGAAACCTCAAACAACCTTTCGAAGGTATTTCATGGAGCAATTTGTTTTTACAAGAGAGCTGTTTAGCTCTGACTCTGCTACTTCCCATGTGGCTGCCTCATATTTCACCAGCTTCAAGTTGGGAGGCTCAATGCTCTTTGCACCTGTCTGTGGAAAGGTGCCCAAGAATCACCAACCCTCTAGAGAGCTTTATAGGTAACAAAAATTTCTGATCTATATGAAGTAAAAACACTGGAAGAGAAATGCTTCTGAGCTAAATCTACTTGATTTAAAGAAAAAAAGTTGTAAGTGCAGCGAAAAACTGAATGAGGACTTACAATGTGAATGAAGACCTTCACGAAGGCTTAAGAAGTGCTTTGTGCTACTGACTGTTTTCCTAAATAGACTCATGACTGAAAATTTGGCAGCAGTTTGATGATGTATGAAAATTTGGGATGCAGTTTGATTATGTATGAAAATGCTTTGCTGTGTGAGAGACTGCCAGAGCAGGGAATGGGATAATGCTCTCCATGTGTGCCTTTGTGACAGGGCAGAGCTGAGGTCGAGAAAGTCCCTCCCATTAGGGCGGTGGCTACACACTGCTAAAGGACACAGACATGAGAGCTGGAAGGGCAGCCTGTTGTTAATCTACATCACTTTCTGCTCTGAGCTGAAGGGAATTTCTTTCTGTCCTTGGTTGCAGACCACCTGTACAGGTATGTTGGCAGCCTCTGTGACCAGGACATCAAAAGGATGATTCATAGAGTCATAGTCATCATGCCTCTCCTCTACGTAACCCATTTTTCTCACAGATAAGGAGAAAACCCACCTAAGTGAATGAAATCTCCATGTAGCAGCCCTGAGCAGTACAGCTGCTGGTTAAACCTTGCTTTTCTTGCAGAATTTAGGCAGACAGGCCTGACTTTTTTTGACCTCAGAAATAAAATTAAAAGGGTTCTCCTTTGGTTTGTCCTAAAGCTGCAGTGATCTGCCCACCTCAGTCCAAATCCTTGGCCAGCTCTGGCTTCAGCTGCCAAGCTGTAGGATGGGGAAATGAGAAGGTCTGAGATATAGGGAGGCCAGGCTACTGGTTGAGGCAGACACAAGCAATGACTTGAGGAAACAAGTGAAAAACTGCTCAACATGCAAAGGTACAAAACCCTAAAGGAAATTTGGTGCTGGAGGACAAGAGTTTGGTACCTCTAGAGACCTGCTGTAGGGAGCAGCAGGGTGGACCCTTGTCCACCTGACTGATGCCCACTGGGGCTCTTTGGGGCTCTGCCATGGGGGTGCTGAATGTGCTCATGCCCAGCCTCGTGGCCTCTTAGGTTTTGTTGATTTTTATCTGTGTTGGCTTCAAACCAACAGGTTTCTGCTTTCAGGTTGAGCATATTCTGCATGCAGGGTCTGCACACAGTAAAAAGTGCCTGAACTAAGTGACCTGCCGTTGGTCACTAGGCATTTGGGGTGCTGCTGCTTGAAACGTTTTTACCCTGGGGCTGGTTTTGTCTGT